TCCCTCTTGTGCGATGTGAAGTTATGAACTTGCTGCCTCTGGCCTTTCCTGTCTCTGTCTGTAAATGAGATGTGGTTTCTTAAAAGGCGAGCCCCACCTGATCTCAGGGTGGTCAGAATTTTCAGTGTTGCTGTGTGAGGCTGTAGGAGCCCAGGCCTAGCAAGTGTTGCTTGCTTGCTTGCTTTTTTTCTTTAGAAAAGAAAAGAATCCCATTACATAATTTAACAATCATTTTGTTCTGTAGTGAGATGAAAAGAATTTATCAGCCTTCAGCTGGGCCTGAATGAAGAAGCAAATTATCGAAATCACTGACATTAGTGGTTGGCTAGAGCAGGAATGTTTCCTACTGAATATTTGAAAGTATTTTGTACAATCTAATTGTGAGCGACAGGCGTCTCTGGGCTTCTGCTGCTTGGCTTGAGAACTGTAATTACGAGGCCTAATGGAGCCCCGTGGTGGGACATTTTCTCCAGCTGATGCCGGAGCCATGGGTGCACTCGTAGGCGGTCTGGTCACTGTGCTTTTCAAAATGGATTCAGAGAAAGGGCACAGAAATGTTTTGCTCACTTGGGGAAAATACTTTTTGTCATTCTTTCCAAGTATATGTCTTTGGTCTGTCCTGCTGGCATTAAAGCATGGCTTGCTACAGAATGGATCTTCCTTCCTTCCTTCCTTCCTTCCTTCCTTCCTTCCTTCCTTCCTTCCTTCCTTCCTTCCTTCCTTCCTTCCTTCCTTTCCTTCTTCTCTCCTTCCTTCCCTTCCCTCCCTCTCTGCCTCCCCCCTTCCATCCTTCCTTGCTTTTCTCCCTCCTTCCTTCCTTTCCTCCCTTCCTCCCTCCCCTCCCTCCCTTCCTCCTTACCTCCCTCTCTGCCTCACCCCTTCCATCCTTCCTTGCTTCCCTCCCTCCTTCCTTCCCTCCCTCCTTCCCTCCCTCCTCCCCTCCTGGAGCTTGAATGCTGTTTCTGAGCTTTTTGCTCAAGGCTAGTAGCCACAGCTCTACTTCTGGGGTTGTTGTTGTTGGGGTTTTTTGTGTGTGTGGTTAATTGGAGAGAAGAATCTCACAACCTTTCCAGGCTGGTTTCGAACCACACTCCTCAGATCTCAGCCTCCTGAGTAGCTAGGATTACCAGCATGCACCAACTGCATGCAACTAGAATGGAGTTTTCTTCACTTCATCTTGTAGACGATCTCCCCAGAGTAGAGGCAAACAGACACAGCCATGTCATAAGCACTCAGGCACCTCCCCTCCCCCCCCCCCCCCAGGGGCTCATCTACCCCATCCCTTCTGGCATTACCTTAAAAAACATCTTATATTTTTTAAACTCTTGGTAAAATACACATGTCAGTTTTATAACCATCACCACTGGGTAGTTCTAGAATTTTCCTTCACCCCAAGAAACTGTGTAAAGGATATGGAGTTTGGCACCATCTCTAGCAGCCACTAATCAGCTTTCTGTCTCTAGGAATCTCCCTATTTTTAAATACTCCATATAAATGGACTCTTATGCTCACAGCTTTTGTCTGGCTTCTTTGACTTAGCATAATGTTCTCCTGATTCAGACATGTTGTGTGGTACACCAGAACTTCACTCCTTTTCGTGACTAAATAATGTCTGTGTGTATGAATCTACCACACCTTTAAAAAAATCTATTCCTCATTTCATAGACATTTTGTGTTTTGTTTCCAATTCTTGTCTGTTGTGAATAGTGCAGCTTTGAACATTCTTGTCCAGGTTTTTGTTAGAGCAACTTATGTCAGTTCCCTGGCTCTAAATCTAAAAATGGAATTAGTGCCCCCATAAAGAATCTATGTTTAACTTATTGAGGAAGGCTCAGACTATTTGCCAGTTACTGGAGCATTTTTTATGTTGCCATCCACAATATATAAAAGGTTCCAATTTCTGTACATTTTTAAAGAATCAAAGTCATGCTTGTGGGTAGAAAGTGACAACTTCTTATGGTTTTTATTTCATTTTCTTAATGACTCATGTGTTCAACATCTTTTCATATGATTGTTAGCCATTTGTGGGTCTTTTTTAGGGGAATGTCTATTTAAGTTCTTTGCTCATTTTTAAAATGGACTTTTTTGTTGCCACACTGTAGGAGTCATTTATGTACTGTGAATACTAGACCATTGACAGATATATAATTTATAAGTATCTTTCATTTTCTGTGATTGGTCCTTTTTAAACTTTTACTAGTGTCCTTTAATGCTTAAAAGGAGTTGAGCATTATCTCTCTAAAAGATGAGAAGTTTTTTATGTGACCACAGGACCATATCATACTAACCATATTTTCTTAATATTCTAAGAGATCCAAGTCTCTCATCTTGTCATTGGCTCAACATTTTTAACAGCTGTTTAAAAAGTGTCCAAATAAGTGTGCCCATTGCACACTATTTAATACTAGAGACTGAACTCAGGGCCTCATGCTTGCTAAACAAGTGCTCTACCACTTGAGCTATACCTTCAGCTTATATTAGTATATCTATATACTTATTTTGGATAAAACCATCGATGTGATTCTATTATGCCTCTCCTTTAGTTCTGTCTCTATAGTCAGTCATGGATTGTTTGCTAATTATTCTGCCAGTCCTGGGGCTTGAACTCAGAGCCTGAGCACTGTCCCTGAGCATTGTTGCTCATGGCTAGTACTCTACCAGTTGAGCCAAAGTTCCACTTTCAGCTTTTTGGTAGTTAATTGGAAATAAGAGGCTCATAGACTTTCCTTTCCAGGGTTGCTTCAAACCACGATAGTCATATCTCAGCCTACCAAGTTTAGCTAGGATTACAGCTAGGTACCAGGAGGTGTGAGCCACTGGCACCTGGTAGTTTTCTTGTCCATTGTTACAGTTGGTCATACAAAAGATGGGATTTTTTAAATTCTTTTCTATTATCACTTCTCAAGATAATAACTTTGTTCTTGAGGGTCACTTTATTAATGCATTTAATGAACCATATTTAATGTATATTTAGATAGACAACATTGTTATTATTCTTGTCAGTGATCAAATTATCTTCTCTCTGGCTGCTCAGAATCTCTTCAAGTTGATTTCTGAGTGCTTTGTGGCCAGCAGTAGCTTCTTGGCTATTACATACAGAAGATCTCCAACTATATTTGGTTAGAATAGAGCCCATTGTAGCACTTGTGAAATCTTCCTAGAAAAGCTTTATATAATCATTTCCTCTTCAGAGAAGATAGCAGGGTTTCATAAGAAACCCAGCCTTTGTGGAATCCGAAGACGCCAAATCAGAGCAACCATTCAAAACCCTCTCACAGCGGGCACTGGTAGTTCATGCCTATAATCAGAGCTACTGGGGAAGCTGAGATCTGAGGATCCCAATTTAAAGCCAGCCCAGGCAGAAAAGCCTGCGAGACTCTTATCTCCAATAACCACCAAAAATGCTGGCGATGGAGCTGTGGCTCAAGTGGTAAAACACTAGCCTTCAGTTAAAAAGACTCCGGGACAGTGCCCAGGCCCTGAGTTCAAGCTGTAGGACTGGTACCACAAAACAAAATACCTCTTGAAACTCATTTCATGCATTTTTTACTGAGTTTTTATTAGACATAGAAAACATAATTTTGCCTGGAGATTTTTCACCGAGGAGATGTCTTTTAGGACCTAGTGATGTGATGCTGATAGAGAATATCAATATAAACGAAGCCATCGATGCGATTCTGTTATGCCTCTGCTTTGTCATGGATTGACTACTAATTATCCTGAATTCTTGACATCAAATCACAAAAAGCAATGTCCATACCTAATAGCTGGCTTTGGTTGTAGATTGAAAGAGGAGGATGGATGCAATGCATGTACTCTCCCAAGCCTAGGGGATGGATGTAAACACACAGACTGGTTTTTTCTCTTGTACCCTCTGCCTCGCAGTTACAAAAGGGGGTGGGGGCAGTATTTATTTTCTGCTTGTTTTATAAAGTTGCTGAGTACTATAATGAGTGTGTTATTTATAGAGTGCTTGGAGCTTTTTGGATGAAAGGTGCTAAATTAGAGTTTATTTTTTATTGAATTTATTTGATGTGTCCAACCTCCCGGGAACATTTGCTGAAGTTAATTAAAAACAGATAGTCCCCACTCTGACAGCTTACAGTGCCACTTACAAACCAATAACATAATCAGCGTGAATGCCAGTCGTCCTAGCTTGGGACTTCCTAAGGAACAGCGATTCTTCCGACATGGGAGTGATTCTATTTTGGTAGATACATGAATTCAAATGCTGGACAAAAACACAGCTGGCTCTGAACCAACTCCCTGTCCCCATTTAAAAACAAAATACTTAGAGCTGGGTGCCAGGGGCTCACGCCTATGAGGGTTAGCTACTCAGGAGGCTGAGATCTGAGGATCGCAATTTGAAGCTAGCCTGTTCAGGAAAGTCTTTGAGATTCTCTTAACAAAACTACCACAAAAGCTGGAAATGGTAGAGCGCCAGCCTTGAGTAAAAAGAAGCTCAGAGAGGGCACCTAGATCCTGAATTCAAGTCTCCGAGCCAACACACACACACACACACACACACACACACACACACACACACACACACACACACACACACACACACTTACTTTAGAATATGGAGGTTTTACTCAATTTCCTTCTTATCACTTGGGCAAGAAATGAAGACAAACGTTTATGTTTCCTCTATTGTTGTTTTGTTTTGGTCAGTCGTGGGGCTTGAACTCTGGGCCTGGGCACTATATCTCAGTTCTTCTGCTTAAGGCTAGTGCTCTACCACTTGAGCCACAGCACCACTTCTGGCTTTTTCTGCTTATGTGGTGCTGAAGAATCAAACCCAGGGCCACATGTATGAAAGGCAAGCACTCTACTACTAAGCTACCTTCCCAGCCCTCCTCTATTGTTTTATGATCACATTTTCTGAGAAGGAAGGGTAGTCCCAAATAACCACCTAAAACACTTCATGCTTGCTTAAGCCAACTGGTGAGGGTTGTAAGGGAAGATAATAATTTTGGCTCCTTGTCTTCCTTTGCCAGCTGGTGATGGAGTTCTGTGGTGCCGGCTCTGTCACTGACCTGATCAAGAACACAAAAGGCAACACACTGAAAGAAGAGTGGATCGCGTACATCTGCAGGGAGATCTTACGGGTAGGTGTCCATGGGAGAATGGCCTACCTCCCCTTGTCCAATAGCCCAGATGTCCTGGGAGGCATTAGGCCTCATACTCTTATTTCCATGAAGTGAGATCTCCTTAAAGGTTCATTCTTAACAGGGACCATGGCTGTGGTAGGTGGCACGTGGTTCTGCTCTCACAGAGCTAAGAACCTTCTGGATAGCTGGTATGCACGTTTGATGTGGAAGGCTAACATTGGGTGATTTCCTGTAGTAAATGCTTCATGTTTTTAATGATGTTTCCAGCTAAGAATCTGATTTGAAGTCATAAAGATAATGTTATACTTAGGAAATGGGTAGTTACAGTACATATTTTGGTGGGCCATGGGAGGCATCTATTTAAATTATAACTAATACTGTAATCCCTTCCTGCTGCATAACGTGTGTGTAAGTAGATTATATAACTGTAGTCATTTCTGTCCAGATAAGCTAGTTTACCTGATTTTACCTTTCAAAAAAAATTTTGAGACCTAATCACTTAAATCAATCAACATAGCTGTATAAAATGGTGCCTGTTTGCCCAGTTCTGCCCACAGATCTCACACTCCGGCCACATGGTACCACATTTCTGAGCTCAGTACAGGGAAAAGAGGGCAGCTAGGTACATCTAGTTCATTCAGACTAGTTTAATTTTCTCTTGATACAAATATGGAAGCTATTATGTGTCCTCTGAGCGTTCTTCTTTCATCAGCCTGACAATCATCATTTATTTATAGCTTCTGCCATCTTAAGGAAACAAAAGTTAAAGTTGATTTTTACTCTATGTCCAAGATTGGCTTTTAGAGACCAGCTATATAGTCCATGCGATGGATGGATGGATGGATGGATGGATTTTAAGGAGACAGAAAGAAGATATAAAAAGAAGTCTTAATCTTCAAATGTGAACAAGATGAAACAAGACAGAAACAGAAAATGAAGTTTTTATGTGAAAGCATTGACAATAGCATACAAATTAAACATTTAGAAATATACAACATGTGACTGACTGCTCTCTAGCAACTATAAAACATTACTGAGTGATAAAGAGACCTTAGTAAATGGCTGTAGATGATATTTGGCATGTTAGAATACTCACTCCTAGACAGTGTTATTTCTCTTCAGTTTTGTTTATATTTTTAAATGTTAATCAAACTCTTTGCTAGGTATATTTGGGCTCAGACAAAAGAAAATTTTTAGGAATTATATTGGAAGGCCCAGAGCAGCCAAAAAATGCTAAGGACAAATTTAAAAGAAAAGAAGAAGAAAGAAATGGGGCTGGGAAGGTAGCTCAGTGGTAGAGTGCTTGCCTTGCATGCATGAGGCCTTGGGTTCGATTCCTCAGCACCACATAAGCAGAAAAAAGCCGGAAGTGGTGCACTGTGGTTCAAGGGTAGAGTGCTAGCCTTAAGCAGAAGAGCTGAGGGACAATGACCAGGCCCAGAGTTCAGGCCTCAGGACCAACCAAAAAGAAAAAAGAAAGAAATGTTAAGGAAAAAGAACAAAGATGGAAAGTTCCTATTCCCAGTTATAAGATTTCAAGTAATTAAAACAGAACATCTTGGAGCCGAATCAAGAGTCTCAGAATCAAGAGACCTTCATCAAATGGACAACTGACATACTGCAAAGCCAATCATGTTGTGGATGGGAAAATGGTGCTCTTGTCCATACATTGGTCCTGGCCACTGATCTATCCATATGAGAATGTGACATTAATCCCTGCTCTTTTACCACATTAAAATTGTATTCCAATAAATATGAATGTCAAAGTCATGAAAACTAAAGTTCATATGAGAATAATACCTCTATAACTTGAGATAGGCAAAAAAAATTGTTTAACCAAACATAGAACTGATCTGTCAAATCTTAATGCATCACTAACTCACGAAATATCAACGTAGTTTAACACAGAACCTAACATTTTAGGAAAAAAGCATAAAGGACTACTTAGTTATTGGGACCAACTAATGGCTTCTTGTCCAGGAATACCTGCATATTTCACTTTCTGTTCATCACTTCCATATGGTTTAGTTTAGCCTCTGTGAGCATGACAAAGATGTGGGCATAATTCTGAAAGCCTCTCTGGGGGAGTTGAATTATGGGAGACCATTAAACCCTCAAAATAGTACGATTGAGTCTTGGCTTATGTTTCTATTAACTCCCATCTCTCCACTGCAGGGCCTGAGTCACCTGCACCAGCACAAAGTGATTCATCGAGATATTAAAGGGCAAAATGTTTTGCTGACCGAAAATGCAGAAGTAAAACTAGGTAAGAACAGAGGCCAGCGAGCCTATTCATAGCATTATTTGTCACTCTTTTTTCAAAATCGATGTAAATTAACATGTAAAAATGATCAATAAATTAATGTAAATTTGTGGATCTGGAGGGCATTTCTCTTTTTTTTTTTTGGTTGGTGTTGGGGCTTGAACTTGTCCCGACCCGCAGGACTTCAACCAGGGCAGTGAACCTAAGCGAGAAGGAATGAAGGGACAAGAGACACGAAGAAGGACAGCAAGACAAGGATTCTGATCAAGCTGCCAATTTTTATTTTTCACACAAGGGTATTTATATGCTTGGACTTAGGGCGTGGTGCAAAGGTGGTCGTTAAGTAGATTTAGGGCGGGGTGAAAAGGTGGTCTTTAGTAGCTGCAGGGTGTTTGTTTACTTTAAGGCGTGGTGAAAAGGTGGGATTCTGTAAACTCAGGCTCAGGTTGTTCCAGTGATATAGTTAAGCCTATCAAGTTTGAGAGACTTAACTTTTGGCTCCCAACATCTCCCCCTTTCTTGTTTAGAAAATTGACCATCAATTGTTGGCTGCTCTTTTTAAGGGGGTGACAGAGGCTCTGTTCCTCTAAGGGCCCAGGGTTTTTCTCCGCTCCGAGCGAGCGTCCTCACTCGGGGAGGGGAATTTTTACAGACCTTGGCATGTTTTTTGAGGAGACGGCTTGTGGGTATGCATGCCAACCGTCATGCACCAGAGCTTGCCACTCAGGCGTCTTGGGTTTTGGGATCTCGCGGATCCATCCCCCTGCAGTCTTACCTGCACCCTTGATTAGAGCATTTTTTCTTCCTCCCATAGGTGCATCCTCCCCCAAGCAGAGGGGCCTATAGGAGGAGGGGCGAACCTATCCCTTATGGCAAGGGTGCAATAGGTCTTGCCCGTTGAATGGTCAGGAGTTATGAATAAGGAGAAGGGTTTTCTAAACAAGAAAAAAAAGGAGGGCTGTTTCCCACTGGAACAAGCTCATGGCAAAACATTAATTAAAAGCCTGGGGTCAATCCTAGATCTCAATGCTGCGGTCTGCCATATCAAGGCGATGGTGATGAACCTGTATGGGCTTAGAAACCAAAGATTAATTTGTTATTTAATAAATTCAAACAGGACGGTCCATGTCTGGAGTTCTAGCTGCATTTGCAAGAGAAAAGGCATCATCCTCGGGGGAAAGGCTTCCCCTGGGTTGTAGTAAGCCATTCACCTGTTTTATCAAGCGTTCAGGCAGCCACCTTGGGGCCGCTTGTTCTTGATCTAAAATACAGGCTGAACCTCGCCCCCAGATAAGAACAGGATCTGGGCCCTTCCATTTGCCTGTAAGGGGGTCTCGCCACATGACAGGCGGGCGGGCAGAACTGGAAGATGGGTGCCAATGCCTGTCAGCTGCCGAGTGGCCTTCATTGTCCAGAGTTAGAAAATTAAGGGCGAACAATGTGTGACTAAGGCGATCCCTAGGAGTGGAAAATGAAAAGGCAGAGGCTTTGAGGCGAGTAAGCCAGGTTTTTAGGGTGTGGTGGGCTCGTTCTATAATGCCCTGACCTTGGGGGTTATAGGGAATCCCAGTAGTATGACAAATCTGGAAAATAGCACAAAACTGTTTAAACTTGGCACTGGTATAGGCTGGGCCATTGTCTGTCTTTATGTGGGCTGGTTTTCCCATTACAGAAAAGGCTAGAACAAGGTGAGAGAGAACATCTTTGGCAGTTTCTCCTGAGTGTGGTGAAGCAAAAACAAACCCGCTAAATGTGTCTATGGAGACATGTATATATCTTGTTTTTCCAAATTCAGGAAAATGGGTAACATCCATTTGCCAGATTTGATTGGGTAGCAGTCCACGGGGGTTAACACCCAGATGTTGTACAGGAAGGGAGACAACACAGGCAGGGCATGCCTTTACTATCTCCCGTGCTTGCTGTCTAGTAATTTTATAAAGCAACCGAAGGCTCTGGGAGTTTGGGAGGGGACAAACCCTACCACCCCTGGGCTTGTCTTGGGGATGGTCGGGGCCAGGGGCTGGCCCCGAGGGAAGTTTCCCGAAAAAACGAGAGAAAATGGGCTGTCCAAGGGCATTTGTTTTGGATCTACATTCGTTGGCCCAATGACGGCTCTTACCACATTTGGGACAAAAAAGTGGCAGGGAGTGGTCTACCTAAAGCTTGGGAGGGCATTGCCCCTTAAGGGACATTCACAAAGTGACCAGGTTGTTTACAATTAAAGCAAGTATGTGAGCTGGGGACTGAACCTTGAAATGCCTTAGTAAAGGCAGCACCTATGGTGAGTCCCATGGCATGGGTGGTTCCTACTCCAGCACAAAGCCTGACGAACTCAGAGAGGTCATCCTTGTTTTTATGTGGTCGGAGGACATCTTGACATGCAGGGTTAGCATTTTCAAAGGCAAGATGTTTAACAAAGGCACTTTCACTTTCACTTGGCCCAAGAAGCCTTTCTGCAGCCAAGTTAAGCCGCGAGACAAAGTCACTGTAGGGTTCCTCTGGCCCCTGTCTAACCTTTGCCAGGGAAGTAGTAGCCGATCCCTTTTGAGGGAGACGCTTCCAAGCATAAAGGCCAGCGTTTTGAATTTGTGCCAAAAGTCCAGTAGGAAAGCGTGCCTGTTTAGCATTGGTATCAAAGGGCGCATTACCCAAAAGTTTAGTATAGGTCCAGGTTTTTGAAGATGTTTTAGCCAAATTTTTTTGCGCGGTCTCTCTACATTGTTCCTTAAAGTCCGCATTCCATAAAACAAAATCACCCCCACTAAGGGTGGCACGGGCCAGGAACTTCCAATCATTAGGGGTGAGCCAGCGCGCACTTTGGTTTTCTAACAAGGCTAACGTATAAGGGGCAGTCGGGCCATATTGGGCACATGCATTTTTAAGCTTTTCAACAAACCGGAGGCTAAGCCTCTTATACTCTTGTTGGCCTTTTCCCTGGGTGGGTTGTTCCTCTTCATCCCCAGTATCCTGCTCTTCATCCTCCTTTTCCTCCTCTTCTGATTCGTCCTCCTCACCCTCTGAGGTCCTATCTGTCTGTCTCCGAGTTACTGGAAAGGCGAGAACTGATTGATGGCCTGATCTAACCTTAATTTTATCAGGCGTTTTTGGCGTATCGGCCAAGGCCAGTATGCGGAGTTCATAATCAAGGGACCGCAGTTCTTTTAAAAGTTGAAGGTGTTCTCGCCTATGTTGAAGAGTCTCGCGTAAAGGTGCCAGGTTAGGTAAAAGGGGGGGAGAAAAAACATCTGGAGGGGCAGTGGGTCCTTGAAAGGCCGGGTTACAAAAGGGAGGGGGCGCATAGGAGGAATGCGGAATATTTGAGGTAGAGGGTTTAGTCTGAGGTAGGGGGTGACTGAATACGGGGGGCCAATCAGGCTGACGATATTGGGCCGCCTCCTCTTCCAGGGTGGCCTCCTCCTCGGGATTTAAATTATTCTGAGGGGAATGGGCTGCCTGGGGTACAGGATAATAATGTTCATCTACCTTTTGAGAAGGAGTTTCAAGATCTAATACAACCGATGGGCAAGCTGCGGGGGGCCGAGAGGTATTTTGGAGAACCTCCTCTCCCGTTTTTACAAGTTTTAAAATTCCACTATCAAACAGAGAACATTTTAAAATGTCATTAATCAAATTCCAATAGGAAAAGGCCGTAGCAGGAACCTTTTCTGAACCAAAGGTTTCATAATAATCTTTTAAACAATCTCCTACTCTTTGCCAGCTTTTTGCATCTATGATTCCTTCAAAGGAGAACCAAGGACACAAGTCCTCTATGAATGAGAAAAATAATTCTAAATCCTTTTTCTTAACCCGCGTTCCTCGTGTCTTGAAGGCCTCCCTGAGGTCTGACAGAAATAGATCATGTGACGATATTGCTTGTCCCATAGTGGGTCACTCACCATGCGCCATCCCCACTCTCCTCCTGGATCTGTCTCTCGGCGGGGTCTGTCGAGGCGATCTCTCGATCTCGGACTGTACTTGGCCAAGTTTTCCCGGAGGACGGCGTTCCTTCCTCAGTCAGAGGCTCGTGCCCCACGTTGGGCGCCAGTTGTCCCGACCCGCAGGACTTCAACCAGGGCAGTGAACCTAAGCGAGAAGGAATGAAGGGACAAGAGACACGAAGAATGACAGCAAGACAAGGATTCTGATCAAGCTGCCAATTTTTATTTTTCACACAAGGGTATTTATATGCTTGGACTTAGGGCGTGGTGCAAAGGTGGTCGTTAAGTAGATTTAGGGCAGGGTGAAAAGGTGGTCTTTAGTAGCTGCAGGGTGTTTGTTTACTTTAAGGCGTGGTGAAAAGGTGGGATTCTGTAAACTCAGGCTCAGGTTGTTCCAGTGATATAGTTAAGCCTATCAAGTTTGAGAGACTTAACTTTTGGCTCCCAACAGAACTCTGGGCCTGGGCGCTGTCCTTCAGCTCTTCAGCTCAAGGCTAGTACTCTACCACTTGAGCCTACAGCACCACTGCTGGTTTTCTGGTGGTTTTTATTAGAGATAAGAGTTTCACAGACTTTCCTGCCTGGGCTGGCTTTGAACCTTGATCCTCAGATCTTAGCCTCCTGAGTAGCTAGGATTACAGGCGTGAGCCACTGGTACCTGGCTTTGGAGGACATTTCTCTTTAAAAAATAGAAAGGAAAATGTTTTCCTTGCTTCTTAATTTTTTTTTCTAAAAGCAGTGAATTGGAGAGTGAATGTATATTGATGTGATCCAACCAAACACAGTGCCTTAAGCAATGTATAGAAATGATCAGTATTTTGTAAAAATTTAAGTTAACATAGGGCACTGGTGGCTCACGCCTGTAATCCTAGCTACTAAGGAGACTGAGATCTGAGGATCACAGTTTAAAGACAGCTTGGGCAGGAAAGTCCATGAGACTCTTATCTCTAATTGAATTCAAAAACAATCCAGAAGTGAAGCAGTGGTTCAAGTGGTAAAGCACTAGCCCTGAGCAAAATATCCTCAGAGATTGAGCTCAAGCTCCAGGACTGGCACAAACATACAAAAAAAAAAAAGTAAAGGTAAGCAACAGTCCTTGAAATCATCTCTTACATCCCTAGTTAGGTGTATCGAGACTCATCAATCCCTTCCATATTCCCAGTTTGTTATTTACATTGATTTTATTTTTACCTTGGGAACCTGTACAAAACAGATGTGGAATAATCAAATACTGATTTACCCCTCTTCTGTCTGCCAAAGTTACAGTTGGGAAATCCCCTTTGAGGGCATGTCCACTGCAGGTGGGTGCGGTCCAGATGAGGATACGCAATTGATTTGTTATCTAGAAAAGGCTCACTGTTCACATGATGATTTATTTCCTAAGAGATTTAAACGTGTCTTTTCCCTTTACTAATACACGTCGTTTCTGGGGGGGTTGTTTGTTTGTTTGCATAGCATGTGGCACCAAACCTTCATCTCATGACTGTTCCCTTAAAAGTAGACACTTATCTCTTATCTCCACCAAAAGTAGACACTAGGGATAGGCTAAGTGTATGTGCAGAGTGGAGGAGCCATCTTAAAAATAGCCACTCACCACTGCTACATGCTAGGAGTCTGCCCAAGGTCCTGTTACCACCACTTAGAGATCGCACATGTGAGCGTATGGATACAGTCCTCTTCTAGTACCCTCAGACTATCCATCTGAGGACAGAGGTCAGTGACCTGGCCCTAGGGAGCAAGGGAACAAAGGAGTAAGTGGCAAAAATAGGACCTAAGCTTTGGCAGTCCAACTCCAGCCCTAAGCTCTTTATTACTACCTTTTTCTTTTTCTTTTTTTTCTTTTTTTGTCAGTCATGGGGCTTGAACGCTGGGCCTGGTGTTGTCTCTGAGCTCTTTTGCTCAAGACTAGAGCTCTACCACTTCCAGCCACAACACCACTTCTGGGTTTTCTGGTGGTTAATTGCAGATAAGAGTCTCAGGGATTTTCCTTCCTGGGCTGGTTTTGAACTACAATCTTTAGATCTCAGCCTCCTGAGTAGCTAAGCTTACAGGTGTGAGGCACCAGCACCTGGCCTCTTACTAGCCTTTGTAGCAACCAAACTTGCTTTTTATTGTACACCTATTTTGGTCCCTATGGAGTCTTGGTATAACCAAATACAATACTTTTCTCATTGGTATACTTCATCCATTTATGCATATAGTTTAAAAATATACATTCACAGTTCTGGGGGGGGGGCGGGGAAGGCAAAAGCTAAACAAATGCAATCCACAGATGACAATCTGAATGAGATGTAGTAAACACATTCAGAGCAAGATTATTCTTCACTAACGAAGGCAGAAATTCTGACACGCAGCAGCACATGGAGAACTTGGAGAACACTGTGTAAGCGAGTGAAGACAATCGCTGCATGAGTAGTCAGAAAAGGAGAAGAATGGCAGGGGTTGGTGGTCAGACCTGAGATGCAGAATGTCATTTGGGGATAGATAGTGGCCATGGTATTTAATGCCACAGCAATGCACATTGAAAAACTGGTTATAATGGTAAGATATGTATGTATCATAAATAAATATCATTAATACATAACAATGTATTATACATTAATATAAAGTTGAGAGAGACCAATAGATAGATGCATACATACATAATGTGTGTGTGTGTGTGTGTGTATGTGTGTGTGTGTGTGTTCAAGTCCATGCTCTGGTACTGGGACTTGACCTCAATTCTTTGAACTCTATCTTGGTTTGTTGTTATTGTTGTTGTTGTTGTTTGTTTGTTTTGCCTGAGACTGGTATTCAACTACTTGAGACACACCTTTTCCACTTCTTGTTCTTTGTTGATTGTTTGGAGATAAGGTTTGAATACCCTTGATGGCTTTGAAACTTGATCCTCAAGAGTTCAGCCTCTTGAGTATATAGGATTACAGGCAGGAGCCACCCACCTCTAACAAGTACAAGATAGATAGACAGACCAGACAGACCAACAGACCAACAGACCAACAGACAGACAGACAGACAGACAGACAGACAGACAGACAGACAGATAGATAGATAATTCCTATATATTGTACTGTGTTAAAAAATTCATTTTTATCATCACCGACTTCATTCCATTTTTTTTTCTTCCTAGTGGACTTTGGCGTGAGTGCGCAGCTGGACCGCACAGTGGGCAGGAGGAACACCTTCATCGGGACCCCGTACTGGATGGCACCAGAGGTCATTGCCTGTGATGAGAACCCAGATGCCACGTATGATTTCAAAGTACGGCACCCTCGTTGTGTTGTTAGAGTAGGCCTAACATTACCTCCTGGGTCTTGGCAATGGGTATTTCTCACATGTTTTTGGTTTTGTGATTTACGGGACCCAAAAGGGAGAACTGAAGAAAGTATTTGAAGTTAAAGTTGTAATACAGTTCAAAGTGGAAATCATCTTAATGAATTTACCCATCGGATTGATCATTTACAAAAAAAGATGTGTAAATCATTTTCTCTATTCTTTTGAATTTGCCCTTGCTTCTTAGTCATAAAACGGAAGTCAGATTTTAGATTTTTGGTAAAGTATATATTTTTTCTTTTGATTTATTTTGGTGGTCATGAGAATTGAACTCATGACCTTGCTAGGCAGATGATCTACCATTTGATTCATACCTCCCAATCATATGTGTGTGTACGTGTATCCATTGTTTTCCTTATTCATCTACTTCTTTAGTTGATTTATTTTTTAGTTGATATATTAAAAACACAGAAATGGTGTTAACAGGGTATCATGTAATGTTTTGAGACATGTGAACATTGCATAATGCTTAAATCAGGTTAAAAAATAATTGTTTCTTCACATATTTTGATTTTGTGTGTGTGTGTGTGTGTGTGTGTGTGTGTGTGTATTGGTCCTAGGGCCTGAAATTAGGGCGTGGCCACTGTCCCAGAGCTTTTTTGCTCGAGGCTAGCATTCTACCACTTGAGCCACAGCTCTACTGTTGAGTTTTTGGCACTTAATTGGAGATAAAAAGTCTCCTGGACTTCCTTGTCTGAGCCAGCTGCAACACACGATCCTCAGATCTCAGCCTTCTTACTTGCTAGGATTACAGGTGTGAGCCATTGACATCTGGCCATTTATCCTTTAAGATGAAAATTCTTTTTAAAAAATGTTATTGTCAAGGTGATATACAGAGGGGTTACAGTTACATGAATCAAGTAATGAGTACATTTCCTTCCTCCCTTATTCTCTTCCAGTTTTTCCCTTCCCGACTTCCCTCCCCACCAAGTTGCATAGTTCATTTTCCAAAATAGTGTCTAGTGGGTATCATTGCTGCATTGACTCACCCTTTCTCCCACTGTTTCTGTGCTTCCCCTTTCCCTTCCCCTCCCCAAATCAGATAAACTTATATACAAGACAAAGGGTATAGAAATCAAAAACAGGGACAGAAAGGAATAAACTAGAGGAGGAAGAGGAGCAGGGGGAAGAGAGAGGTGGAGAGGGTGAGGGAGGGAAGGAAAAGGGAACCACAAACCTTATCATAGAAAACCTCTTCCACAGCCGGGCGCTGGTGGCTCACGCCTGTAATCCTAGCTACTCAGGAGGCTGAGATCTGAGGATCACGGTTCAAAGCCAGCCCGGGCAGGAAACTCCATGAGACTCTTATCTCCAATAAACCACTAGAAAACTGGAAGTAATGCTGTGGCTCAAGCAGTAGAGTGTTCGCCTTGAGCTGAAGAGCTGAGAGATAGCACCCAAGCCCAAAGTTCAAGCCCCATGACTGACTGCCCCCCCCAAAAAAACTCTTCCATTTCTTGGAGTTCATTTTGATAAGCATCATTTTATATGATCTTATGCACATAGCTATTGAGCCCTTTCATTCCTGTCCTAAAAATATCCTCCTTCATCCTCACTGTGTGACTGTTTAGATTGCTGTTTAACTAATCATGTCCAGGAGTAATTATTTGCCTTTTCCTATCCATTGGGTTTACTTGTAGATTTATAGGAATATGTCACCTTACCTTATACAGAATTTCTTGTTCCTATCTAACTAAACTTAGTATACATTGATCAACTTTTACCCATTCCTTCATCCCCCAAGGTATCCATTCTGCTAGCTTCTTAAGTTAAAAGAAACCAAGATATGCATTTGTTGTCTTGGGTTCTCTTCCTCTGATGGAGAATAATCTGACTTTCAGTGTTTTATCTGCTCTCAGTATAATGATGTGGGGCTACTTTTCTGAGAGAGTCTTAAATAGGAAGCATGGCATGACATTTCATTATTTTGTATTGCACACTGGAAATCTGTTAGTAAATTCTAAGCAGGATTCAATAGACTTCATCAATAGCACCTCCTCTTTTTCTCCCCCTAGCCAATAATCAAACATACCCAGGAGTGATAACAGCTACAATGACATTACTTTTTCATTAATGCAGCTAAGAAACCAGATTGGAGACATGAGAGCTAGGTAGAACTATGCAGTAGGTAGAGAGACACTCAGAACTTGATACTTCCTGCACTTGGTTTCAGAGGTACAAACTTTCCCCCCAAATGACCAGTGATCATTTCTAAATACCCCCATTTTATAGAGGACAAGATCTCCTCAGAGCTGGAACTTTCTATTAAGATCTCTTCCCAGTAGATTACCTGGCCTTTCAATGGGCTTCTCGATAAGTCAGCAGTTTGCAGAACTGCTCTTTAAGATACGTAGTTCTTCACATTTGGGGTTATTACTGAACTCAGGTCTCAAACAGGCAAACCTCACAGTGATGGTGGCACGCAGTGTCTCAGGGCATTGACAAAATTATTTTGCCTCTTTGGAGAAAGGCGAAGTTGAAGGTCTGAAAACATTACAATCTCCTGGCAATTTCCTCCTTGCCTTCAAAGTTAGTCCATGACAACAATCTGTCTGAAAACAGCTGCCAAGTTAAAAATTAATCTCCTGCCAAAATAAATGTCATTTATTGAAACTGCTAATGACCAGCACATTTGCATAATTCCATTTGCAAATCCCTTCAGAGGAGCCTCTATGAAATATGTATCCCAGGCTAGATACGTGTCCTGTAGCTGACAACAAGCAATTCTTCACACTGGAGCTCTGTCTAAGCAGCCCTGACTCAGTTTCATGTTGGCACAGATACATTAAAATCAGTTCATAACATTCTGTGAAGAATAAGAGTGTTTTAGACTTCCATTACCAGCTAAATCCTTGAAGGGTTATTTATACATTATACACTATATACATTTTGTGTAAGACACTGCTTCTGTGGCATAGGGTAAATCCTAGGACTGACTGAATCTCAGGAGAAGAATTAGAACAGGTCTCCTCCTGGCCCAGCCAAAGCTTGAAATACACTGATACCTCGTTTCTCTTTCTTTACTCATAGATAAGTAATAGAATTAGAAATCAGTGTAAAATTTGTAACACCAACGGGTAAATCTAGATGTGGACAAAGCCTGTATGTGAGTGACCACAGGGTGTGCTGCACTAATGGTGTAACTTCAGAGATTCTGGAAGCTTCCATTGATCTTAAGTATATCCTAAGACATTAAAGAAAATAAAGTTCCATCTCTGTGTCTTCAAAAGCATCCTGATGGAGCTGGACGCTGGGAGCTCATGCCCGTAATCCTAGTTACTCAGGACACAGAGATCTGAGGATCTCAACTCAAAGCCAACAGGAGCAGATAAACCTTTGAGACTCTTTTATCTCCAGTTAACCACTAAAAAGCTGGAAATGTGGGGGGGGGGGGGGGCCCTAGCTCAAGTAGTAGAATCCTGGGCATGAGTGAAAAAGTTGAATATGTGTTCAAGTCCCAGTACTAGCACACACACACACACACACACACACACACACAGAATCCTGATGGAATAAAATAAGTTGAGCTGTATCAGTCAGGTTTTAGTGAGAAGTAGTTTATCAGGAGTTTAGGTTCTCAAGAAGAAGATAAAGCCATGGCAGGAAATGAGTTTCACTGGTCTCCTACCATTGATAAAAGGAGAAACATGACCAGGCAGAAAGGAAGGTCTGGGTGAGTCTTTGAAGGTTTATTTCAGCCACTTCCCATTTTACTATGGGCCAGAGAAGACACTGATCTTTAAATACTAATCTTCCTGTGTTTTCCTTGGCATTGTATCTTTTTTTTTTTTTTTTTTTTTCTGCTCAGTGTTCTTAGAAATGTAGTCTGCCACCAGGGGACAGCTTAACAATAAGTTGAATTTGAGAAAAGTTTATTCATTCACCCAGTATGTATTATTAAATACCCAGTGTGGATAAGAGGAATTAGCCTAGCTCTGTATAAGCAATGTCCAAGTTGAGAGTTCATTTGAAGAGCCCACAAAGCTCCAGGCTTTGGTCCTGTATGTGTGATAGCCCATTTGACCCAGTGAGGTCCCTCAACCTCAGCAGCTAATGTTAACAGCTAAGCCAGATACCATGCTTTTTTTGGGGGGGGTGGGGGGAAGTAGGGGAAAGGAAGATTCAAAGATCACTGGATTTTCTTCAACTCTTTACCGGTGAAGGCTCTTGCTTTAAAACAAAGACAAAATGTAACACAGGAGAATATCATTTCCTTTGGTTCAGTGATTTATTATTTATTGATTGATGATCACTGATTGAAACGTTGCTATTTGATGTTGATGTCTTTGAAAGCCTCTGTCAGCTTTTTGGTAAGGTAACTAAAAGTCAGTGTCCTAGGGGCAGTGTAGGAAATTAACAAGTGTGAAAAGCTAATGCTTTTCCCTGCAGCGTGGGTCTGTGTCCTGCTGGCACTGGAAGGAACTAGCTAAAATCAGGCCCTTCCTAAGGAGGAAGAGGCCAGCTCCAGTCTGCCTGGTGTGTCGCCTTTCCCTGCGGGCCCTTCCTTTACTGTTTTCAGAAATTCCGTCAAAACATTTCAAGTGAGAGGAAAGATTTCATTTCCCTGATAAGTATGCTTTCCTGTTTAATAATAAGCATTCAAGCGATCTGAAATTAATAGAACTGATCACCATTCTTAGGCTATTTAAACCATTATTTTTAACACTTCCCTTGAGTGCATTTCAGTTGGATGAAATCTGACAGGCCCTATATATTTGCTGCCTTAACAGACTCACCAACTAAAGAAAGTTCTCTGTGGCCAAAAGGTCCATTTGTAAGAGTAGATTTGATGAAAGACAAGAAGAGCATCCATCCAGTAGACTATTACACAGCTACGAAAACAATGAGAGAGTGCAGGTCCTGGATTTAAACAAATCCCAAATACAACCCAAGTGTTAAGGACCAAAACAATCTATAGCATTGTCCTC